ACCCCGTCTCTTGCCACATGCCCCTGACCCGTATGGCGGCCCCGCCTCGCCTGGGAACGGAAGCGACGCTGGGGGGCAGCAGAGCGGCTGGCTGAGGATTCCCGAGGCGATGCCCTGGGGGGCGCGCGAGGAGTCTGGATGGGGGACTCGTCGACGGGCGGCGCCCCCATCAGGTAGAAGAAATAATTCGAGGAGGCCATCTCTTTAGGTGCGCACGACGAGCTCGCCTCGGAGGGGAGAGCTCGGCGCGGAGAGACGATGACGACGACGACGACGGCGGCGACGACGACGACGACGCCGACCACGACCGCGACCGCGACGACGACGCGGCAACGATTTGGGATCTGGAGGACAGGCAAGGCCGCCTGGAGGGGATGGGGGCGGCGGGGATGGACGGGGGGTGGTTGGCCATCCCATTATTGGGTTCAAATGGCCCCGCCCTCTTGTCCGCCCCCGCCAGCCCCCCCCTCCAGGCGGCCTTGCAAGCACCCATGCTGTCAAACCAATGCTTGGGATGCCCCCCTCCCCCCGAAACTGTCGGCCTGGCGCCGACGCAGCGAATCGTCGCGAAGACGCCGAAGGTGTCTTAGCAGAACTCCCAGTTTGCCGGCAAGAAAGCCCGCCTTCTCCAGCGGGCTCGCCGACTTCTTCTCGCTCGTGCATTTCGGGCACATGGGCGGGGGGGGGCGCCGTGGTCGTCGTCGCCGGCGTCGTCGTCGTCATCGTCGTCGTCGTCCTCCTCCTCGTCATCATCGTAGCCTGGGGCCTTTCGAGATCCCCAAAAATGCGTGTCAAACGTTTGACAAGCGTTTGACAAACGTTTGTCAAACGCGTGTCAAACGTTCGCAAACGTTTGTCAAACGTTTGGTTGGCAAACGTTTGGCAAACGTTTGTCGGCGCACGTTTGACAAACGTTCGCCAAGCGTTTGTCAAACGTTTGGTTGACAAACGTTTGGCAAGCGTTTGTCAAACGTTTGTCACGCATTTTTGGGGCATCTTCCCCCCCCCCCCCTTCGCTTCTCCATGACTCATTCCCTCCGCCCCGTCCCCTCGCCTCCCCTGGACTTCGACCAGACGTCCTCCCGCCCCCCCCCCATGCCCCCCCCTGGGTGCCGAACAACGCATGCGAGGCAGGCCTTGCGCAAGGTCGTGAAGTTGACCTCCAAGTCAGCACGCGTCTTGAGCAAACGCTCCACCTGGGCTGGGAAGCAGATGGGGGGAGGTGTGAGGGGGGGGGAGGGTGGAGGGGGGGCCTTAGAGGTTGCGGGAGGAGGGGCGCGAGGGGAGGAGAAGGGAGGAAAAGGGGGGAGGTTGGAGGAGGAGGAGGAGGAAGAGGGAAGAAGAGGAAGATAAGGGAGGAGGTTCGATAAGGGTGGAGGGGGGAGGAGGTTGGCCCTGCCCCCCCCCCCAAGTTCGCCCTATATGTTATATTATATTAAACTATATTAAATTATTATACTGCGTGAGTATACCAACATTCAAACCACGATCCACCAAAGCCGACATCTGGTGCAAGCTCGGCGAGTGGACCGCGCAGTCGCGGCGGAGGAACTCGTAGTGGCCGGGCGCGAACGACTTCCTGCAGCCGACCTCCTCCACGTAGTCGATGAGCGCCTGGCACAGGCGTCGCCGTCGACATCGGCCGTGGGGCGGCGGGTGTGTGCGTGCGTGTGTGTGTGGGGGGGGGGGGGGGCTGCGGGGCGACGGTAAGGGCCGTCGGGGCGGGCGGAGTTTGGCATGGTGGGCAGGAGGGCCGTTGGGGCGGAAGGTGGAGGACTCAAAACGGCCATGGCGGATGGTGGGCGGCAGGAGGGCCGTCGGGGTGGTGGGCAGAGGGCGGAGGAGTCCCATGCTTCTCCCTTCCCCCATCCCTCCTCAAGCCCGTCATCTTAGCCGCCATCAGCGTCATCGTCATCGTCATCAGCATCATCAGCATCACCAGCATCATCATCATCGTCGTCGTCATCATCATCATCGTCGTCATCGTCATGATCATAGCCACCGTCATCAGCATCATCATCATCGTCATCGTCATCACTATCAACACCATCATCACCACCATCATCATCGTCCTCATCATCATCGTCATCTTCATCATCACCATCATCACCACCATTATCGATCATCAACCATCAATCATCGCCCCCACCATCATTGTCATAATCATATCTCGTTGGCCCAATCGCCTCCAAGACGGCCAAGATGGCATGCCTCCAAGATGAGATGACATGCCTCCAAGACGGCTCAATATGGCTTCCAAGACTCCCAAGATTGCCCCAAAATGACACCGAAATGGCCGCAAGTTGTCTCCAAGATAGCCAAAGACTTGGTCGTATTTTCGGTCGCGTGCTACCGAAATTGCTGTCGCATTTTCGGTCGCGCGCTACCGAATATGCTGTCGTGTTTTCGGTGCCAGCTGCGACTGTTTTGGATTTCGGTCGCTACCGATATTCTGTCGGAGGTTTCGGATTTGGGTCGTGAACCGATCTTGATGAGCGCTACCGGGATTTTTCGGTCGCGCACCATCTGGGTAGACACTGGGGGCAAGGCGTCGGGCTTGTCCGCGGCAGCCAGGGGACGGGCGCGCCGGCGCCAGAATCCGCCTCGTAAAAGGCGGAGTAGGCCGCCAAAATGCATTTGCCCCGTAAACAAGAATGCCCGCCCGCGCACAATGGCAATCCTGCTCGGCCGCCCGCGGCGGCTGCTTGCCGGCGAACGGGCCGACATCGAGCGGCCATCATTGCCTCCTGAGATCGCGCGAGGCATCCGGTGATGCCGACGCGGAGCGCGAATGCAAGCGGGAATGGTCTGGCCAGCAGAGGCGCCGAGCGACCAATGGCCACTGCCTCAGCGTGCTCCCCAGCCTCTGGTAAGACCTCGAACTGCAAGAGGGAGGGGCGGCGCGATGCCACCTGCAAGTTGCGCGACGCGGCGGCGCGGTGCAAGCCGAGCCCGAGCTGCGCCCAACTGCTCGGCGCTAGTGCCGGGGCCCAGCGCCTCGGTCCAAACCCTCGCGCGCCCGCCAGGCCCCAGCGCGAGTCCGAGGTACTCCGCCCAATCGAGGACGCAACTGGCCCCCTGGCCAGGGGGCCGCTCGACCTACCGGGTGGGGGGGCGCGCCGAGCTGGCAGGGTGGTCTTGCTCCACGTCGGCTTCCGCCCAGAACCGATGCTGGACTTGCCCTCGGTCTGCTGACCGCGCTCGCAGGTGTGAGCGGGCGGCCCGCTCCTGGAGCGATGGCCTCGTGAGCCACCCTTTTCTAGGGAGCCCACCAAGGACTTCGCGCTCAACCACGTACATGAACACGGCCCCCCAATCCGCCAGACACTCCGCATAACACGAACGCTCGCGCAATGCGTACGTTCGAAAACTACGTGGATTTATGTACGCGTACGTCCTTCTTGCGCCCCAGGCTTCCAGGATGAAGAGCATGCTGCGCCTTGAGCATCCAACAGGGCCACCTCCAGCAGAGAGCTGCGGCCGCGCCCCGCAGAGCGCCCGACGGCCGCCTCGAACAGTGCGCCCCCGACGATATCCCCAACGCGCCGCCATGCCAGGTGCGGCATTCCATCCAGACCATGATAGGCAGATTTTTCACCACCACTGCCATAGGTAGGAGAGGGAGGAGGAGAGGAGGAGGACCTGCCCATCCTCCCTTCGCCCTCGTCCTACATACAGTCGTGGTGGTGGAAAATTGGCCCATCCAGGCCAAACGCAAAACGTGGTGCTCGGCAAAACTGCTCGTCGAACGCCTGGTCGGGCTGCGAGGCGAGGCGCGCTCGCCGAGTCAGGGCCCGAGCGCGATCCTCAGCCCGCACCCCTGGAACGTAGGCCAGGGCGCGCCGTGCGCCGCGACTGTGCCCCGCAGGGGCACCGATCGCTTCGCGCGGGGGGGACAGGCAGCCGCCCCGACCAGCGGGTTGCGGGGCTTAGGGATTAGGGCTTAAGGCTGAGGGTTCAGGGCTTTAGGGTTCGGGGCTTAGGGATTAGGGCTTAGGGTTCGGGACTTAGGGCTCAGGGTTCAGGGCTTTAGGGTTCGGGGCTTAGGGCTTAGGGTTCGGGGCTTAAGGATTAGGGCTTAGGGTTCTTGGCTTAGGGCTTAGTGCTTAGGGGTTAGGGTTCAGGGCTTGGAGCATAGGGCTTATAGCTTAGGAGTTAGGGGCTCAGGGTTCGTGGCTTAGGGCGTAAGTTTCGTGGCTTAGGGATTAGGGCTTAGGGGTTAGGGTTTGGGGCTCAGGGCTTGAGGCATAGGGGTTAAGGTTCAGGGCTTAGGGCTCAGGTCTGAGGGGTGAGGGCTTAGGGTTCAATGCTCCGGGCTTAGGGCTTAGGGGTTATGGTTTAGGGTTTGGGTTTCAGGGCCTGGGTTTAGGGGTCAGGGTTTAAGGCTTCGGTCGTAGGACTTGGGGCTTGGGGTTTACGGGTGGCTTACGCGGAGTTACGGTGCTAGTGTTTCGGTGGTTCGGTTCCCGAGCCAACGGGAACGAAAAGGGGGGGGAGTTGTTCCCAGTCTGAGTCCAAAGGGGGGGGGGGGTCCGCGGCGATGGATCGGGAAGGGGGGGGGGAGGGGGGGGTTCCTGGACGACGGATCAGGGAAAGGGGGGAAGGGGGGGGAGGGGTTCCGACCCCCCCCTCTGGGTAATCCAGTGGCGCCGCGCCCTCCCAAATTGGGCCGCACCTCGGGCCGCATCGCTGATGCATCGCCGATGCATCGGCGATGCGGCACCATCCTCCGACCCCACCCACTCCGACCCAGTCTGGGGAGGCCTGGGATGATGGGCCTGTTTTCCACCACCACCACCACCAGAAGTTGGAGGGGGGAAGGAGGTGGAGGACGAGGACGAGGAGGAGGAGGACGAGGAGGAGGATAATGAGGAGGAGGAGGAGGAAGAGGACCCCCTCCCCCTCCAACTTATGGTGGTGGTGGTGGAAAACAGGCCCATCCTGGGAGCGCTGACCCGAGCCAGCCTCGGTGAGCGCCCCCTCGCGCGGCCCCGGGGCGCCTGCCCGCCCGCAGCCACCGCCTCCTCCGTGTCGGCCCCGTGCTCCCTCTCCGCGCTGGGCCCGGGCGAGGCCGCCTCGAGGTCTGCCTCCAGGGTCTGCAGCCGGGAGGCCATCGCCCCCTCGCGCTCGGCCGCCTGCGCGAGGCGGTTCGGCGGTGGACAAACCTCCCTTTAGTAAAACCTCCCTTTCGTGAAAACGGCCTGGGACCGAAACCGACGGACCTGGACCCGCAAGAATGACGGCCGCGACGCCCTCTCGCGAACCGAAACCGGCCAATTCGCTAACCGACGTGTCAGGGTAGGAGGTCCATCAACCTCCGAGCGGAGGGAAGGGGACGATCGCCACGCCCTTCAGGGCGGGGGTGGGGGAGGGAAGACAGCGAGACGAAGCCAGGATTGCGGATAGTATCGGGTGAGGATACATCGAGAATCTCTGGGATCTGGCGGCTCTGGAGGGTGTCTCGGGCGCCGCGGCCTTCTCAGAGCGTTCCGGAGCGCTCCGGATTATCCTCGCCGTAGCCCCGCCTGCAAAGGGCGAAGGACGAGGCTACAGCAGGCAGGAGGAAGGCGGAGGAGGGAGGAGAAGGGAGGGGAGGATGAGGGAGGAGGGAGGAGGTGGAGGAGGAGGAGGAGAAGGAGGAGGAGGAGAAGGAGGAGGAGGAGGAGGAGGAGAAGGAGGAGGAGGAGAAGGAGGAGGAGGAGGAGAAGGAGGAGGGAGGAGGGGGAGGAGGAGGAGGAGGGGGAGGAGGGGGAGGGGGAGGAGGAATCAGGGAATGACTACGCAGCTAAGTCTAGGGCGGCGCGCGGCGGAAAGGGCGGCGGGCTGCCCAGGCCGAAACTCCTGAGAACCCTCTTCGCTTACACCTGCGTGTCTGCTGCAACTGATGTACATCTGCTTCACTGAGTCCAAATTCGGGTGCCCAAGCTACCGCTTCGTTCCTCAACGTGCACTGGCGATCCGCATTGCCAGATTAGTCGCATGCCTTGTCCCGGATCGTCGTTTACATTCAGGGTTCCAATCACACGGTTGAGAAGGTACCTCAGCTCTCACCGCCTTCGCGCTGGCAAACCTCAAACCACCTACTGTTGTATGGTCCTCGCGGTTTCCTGGCACGCAGCGCCCGATGAGCAGATGCAGCGCTGGTTAGCGCCTGCGCATGGCAGTGGCCCTGAACGGCTCACGCCCCGCCCTCCCATGGCTTGAAGGGTGCCAGGGCCCAAGAGGCCACGGCGACGCGCAGATCGATTGCGCGGATGAGGGGGAGGAGGAAGGATGACGATCAGGCTGACGAGGAAAGTAACATCATCATTGCTAAGACTCGGTAATGATGAACTCTGCTCCAATGTGCTCTGCTACATGCCGTGCTTCTGGTTAGCTGGAAGGACAGAAGCTACAGCTCCTGAGCATGACTCATAAAGCAAAGTCAGGCAGTGTGCAGTGCCTGCGACTGCCGAGCATCAGCACGAATCGCAGCTCGTATACGCGCACAAATTCTGAAAAGACGCGAGTGGCGGCGCTCCGCAACACAAGAACCTCCATAGTCCACTGGCGCGGTGAGATCGCGAACCGCACGCGCCTCAGCGCGATGCACGCGAAGGGCACCGCCACGATACCTGTCCATGATCTGGCCAGCGAGGACAACGCCCACGAAAGCAAAAAGATGAGGCACCCAGGAGAGGACGAGCCGATGCCCATCTCCTTACAGAAACCCTCCACCAGGACGACATTTAGCAAGAATCCAACGAACGAAATACTCATTATCCAGCGCGCTGCTGCTGTCGACGGCGGGACGGCGGGCGCCAAGTGCGTGAGCTGTTGACGCGCAAGCCGTCCTCGTTCTACTGCCAGCCGAGCTTGGCCCACTCGTCGTCCGACCACGTCGCTGCCAGTGCCCGCTGTGGCGGGGCAGTGCACGAGTACGGCCCGAGGGTCAGGAACAGGGGCGAGGAGGAGGAGGAGGAGGAGGAACAAGTCTATGTGAAGAAGGATGTTGCCGAGGAGGAAGTCGCTATGGCAGACATCGACCCGTGGTGCCGCGCCTTGCACAGCGCCTCGTGCTGCGACGAGTTCTCTACCTGCAGCCTGTCGTGCTTGCCCTCGCGGATGGGGCTTGGGCGGGCGGCAGAGAGTCCCACCAGCCCTCTGGGCGTAGGTGGTCTAGAGCAGATCCTCTTCCACCCCTCCCTCTTCCCCCTTGGGGAGGGGTTTACCCCTCCCCCTACCCCCTCCCCTGGACCTGGACGGGGGGGGCCGCGGGTAGTTAGAGCGTCCCAGATGGCCCAAGACGGCTCCAAGAGCGCCTCAGAGAACCCAAGATGAGCTCCAAGATGGCTCAAGATAGCGCAAGATCGCTCACGATGGCTCCTAAGATGGTTCCAAGAAGCCCAAAGACGGCCCCAAGATAACTCCAAGTGGCCAAACAGCTCCCCAAGGAGGCCCCGAAGAGGCCAAAATCGTCCCAAAACCTAAGGAAAATCAATGATTTTTGCTTTCTCGCCTTTTCGCTTCCGATGGCCATCCGAGGCCTGGAGATGGCTCCAAGATGGCCCAAGAGGGCCCCAAGAGAGCCCCAAAAGAGCCCCAAGACGGCCCCAAGAGCGCCCAAGAGCACTCCAAGAGCGTTCCAAGAGGGGTCCAAGAGGCGATTTTAGGGGCTTCCGAGGGGGGGCGCTAATTCACCCCCCCCTCTTGTTTGATCGACTCCCTCCAAGATGGCCCCAAGAAGCGCCCAGGAAGCCCCAAGAGGTCCCAAGATGGCCCCAAAATGGCCCCAAGAGGCCCCCAAGAGGCCCCCCGGAGGCCCCCAAGAGACCCCCAAGAGGCCCCAAGAGCCCCCCCAGATGCACCCAAGATGCTCCAAGAGGCCTCGGCGAGAATGCCTAATCATTGATTCTACACAGGTTTTAGCCACATGGAGGCCTCTTGGGGGGGGGCACGGATTAAGATGACTCCAAGAGCGTCTGGGAGAGCCCAAAATGACCTCCAAGATGGCTCAAGATATCCCAAGATGTCTCATAATGGCTTCCTCTGTGTGCTGCCCACTTCTCTGATCGAGGCAATTCCTCTGGGCATCGTTTCTGGATGGGCTGGTGGGGATTCGCGAAGCGACAACAATTTCATTCATCGGCGTGCCCCCATTACATCACGTTCGAATCCCTCCTTGTTTGGTTGTTATGATTGTATGAGCCGCACGAAGCCCTTGGCCGAACAGACGCGAACAGCAGTCGAGATCGGTACAGCCTTGCGACGTCTCAGCCCACCTCCTGCTCCGCCTCTCTGTGTATCTAGAGATCTCTATGTGTGTAGATATCTGTGTATAACTGTGCATCTATATATATATATATAGATTCATACACATCCGCCACCGTGCCACTGGGCACGGAGTGGGCGTCCTCAGGTCCTTTGCCCGACCCCATGGGCCTGTCCTCACTCCCGTTGTCGCGCTCCTTTGGGAAGCCCATGCGCGATCTTCAAGCGCCCTGCTACCAGGGCTTTTCCCGGATAGCTCCTTAAGAGTTGTCTAGGGAAAAAGAGAAGAGGCTGGCAGGCAGGACTAGGGCAGCTTCCTCTCCGCAGGCCCCTTTCAGGTATCCTCGCAGCAATTTGCTTGCGCCCGCAGCTTGTCCCGGAAACATTTTCCGATTCTTTCCCATTGCGCGTCCGGAAACCTTTTCCGCAGCCCTGCCGCAGCTCCCTGGGGGACTCTGCACAGCTTCCTTCCCGGAGTCTGCAACCTTTCCAGGCATCCTTGCTAGCGGCCTGTCAGGCGTCTCCCACAAGCTTGCAAGCTTCCCCTATCAAGCGCCCTTGCAGAGCAGACGTCTCTCACAGGCGTAGAGCCAAGAGGACTGTAGATATGAAGACAGCAGGCAGGACAACGTCATCTCCTCTCCAAGGCTCCCGGGCAAACACCCCCGCAGCGGGCTGCTTGCTTTCGCAGCAGGCCCCAAGAGACAAAAATCCGCCGAACCTGTCGGCGTGTGCTGGGTGTCTGTCCGGTCCGGTCGACGGGGAGCCTTCTTTCGTGCACTCCTTCCCATCCTCCTCTCCCGTCGGGGGAGAAACAGAGAGAGAGAGAGAGAACAACAACAAAAAAACCTTCTTCGTTCGGGGAACGGGTTCGCAGCTTGAGGGAATTCCATCCACGTCCTCATTACGTCAAACGGAAGCCCCTTCCCTTTGTCCCTTCCCTGGCGGGGGGGGGTCCAATGGGGGGGTCAGATTCGCATCGCCTCTGGGGGTCCTCCTCTCCCACGGCGGTCCTTCTCCGGCGCGCCGGTCCTTCTCGGATCCTCCTCCCCAGGTGGGGAGGAGTCTCGGGGGGGGGGGGTCAGATACGCATTCGTCCCTAGGTGTCCTTTTCCCCTCCCCCTCCCCTCTCCCACGCTGGTCCTCCTCAGGTCCTCCTCCCCAAGGGGGGGGGGGGGGCCCAGGGGGGAGTCCTTTTCCTCCTCCTTATCCTCCTCCTATCTCCGTCTCCTCCTCCTCCTCCTTCCCCTCCTGGTCGTCGTCGATGTCTTTCAGGGGCGGCGGCACCGGCCGTCAGGCCTTCACAATCATTGATGGATGCTCCGTAGGTTTTTGAAGGATTTTGGCGTTCTCGCCTTTTCGGCTCTCCGATGCTCCAAGACGGCCCAAGAGGCCCCCCAAACCACACCAGGACGGCCCAAGAGGCGTCCAAGAGGGTCCCAAGACTGCCCAAGAACGCCCCAAGACGGCCCAAGAGGCGCCCAAGACCGCCCAAGAAGGCTCCAAGACGGCCCCAGAAGGCTCCAAGACGGCCCCAGAAGGGCCCCAAAATTGAACACGAACCGACAATCCGAGCCTTCCGCCCCTGTAGGCCCTCATTACACCATCCCAGATCGCTTGGCCCTGGCGCGGTGTTGTTCTAGCAGTTTACCTGACAGTGCTAGTAGGCCGTGCAGAGAAGACAAGTGAACAAGTTCCAACTCCGAACAGATAAGATGAGCGCTGCACCTGCGGTCACGATCCCAGGGAGCATTGCAACCTGATCTAAATGCTCCAATTCTCGTGCACGGCCACAGCGATTCGCACTCAACTCGCACGTAACATCTGCGCTCGCCTCTTCTCTCTACGCCCTGTGCAGTGGGGGACGACGGGCGTAGACGGGGGGCAACTGTTCACCAACAGCTACCCTGCGCCGCTCGCGGCGGTCTGGGCCAGGAGGGGCCCTCCAGCCGAGTACTCCGCTTCCACATCGCTGTCCTCGTGGAGGCCACGCCAGTTCAACCCGCACCCAGGTGCGGGGGTGGGGGCGGCGGAGCAGAGCAAGGGATGAGGGATGGCGGCGGTCTGGTCCTGCACACGCTCCAGGGCGGCCTGGAACCCCTCGGCAACCTCCCGCGCCTGGTCCAGCTCCGCCCTCAGCTGCTGCGCCTGCCTCTCCTCGCGTTCACTCGTCTGCGTGCGCGCGCGGAACACACCGCTTGTGTGCACTCGCTTGTACACCCATTCACTGCAACAATCAGATCGGTCACCCACTCATGCGCCTTGCTTTTCATGGGCATTCACCAGCACACAACCACCGGCACACGCCCTAGCTCTGTCGGGCGCGCCCGCCGCAGAAATCATGCCACCGCACTCTTACCTCCACGACGTCTGTGGTCAGCGTTTCCCGCCACCGTGCCCTCGTCACGTTGAGCTCACAAAATCTTCCCCAAAGCGATTCCCCTCATGATAGATACACCGATGTACTAGCCATGCAGTAAACGACTCTCCGCGTTGAGTTCATTGGCGCTAGTCTCGATACCAGGACTGATACAAGACGACCCAAGATCGTCCCAACATGTCTGCATGTTTCCCCCCTCAAGCCAGCCCAAGACGGCGCGAAGACCACCTATAGGCTTCAACATGTCCTCAAGAGGTATTGATCTGCCCTGAAGAGTCCCAAAGCGGCGCCATGGTGCCCCAAACCGAGTGAAGCGTGAGATACTGAAGAGCCGTCTGGTTTTCCCTGTGCTTTGCTTGCGGGGCTTTTCGGCCTCAGATGGCCTCGGGAAGGCTCCAGAGAGAGAAAGCGATAAAGAGAGACAGAGAGAGAGAGAGAGGAAGAGAGTCCCAAGACGGCACCCAAAGAGCCAGACTTCCCAATCAGAGCTCCAAGTGGGTCCCAAGATCCGACCAGACGGCCCTAAGGACCCTCCAACAGAGCTCCAAGAGCGTCCCAATATCCATCCCAACGGCATCAAGACTCGAAACCCGCCTCATAATCACAAGTTTTACCGCGCATGTACCGCGCCTGTTTGAACGGCCCCCCATGATGCCCTGCAGAAGTTCCCATGAGGCCTTAGAGAGGGCCCCAAGGCAGCTTTGACCAGGGACCACTTCTGGCAACATCCGACGAAACGAGGACAGGGACACAATCGGGCGGGGAGAAAAATCGGCAATCCATGAGATCCGCGGGTTCTAGAGGATGCATCGGGCGCCGCGGCCGTTCCAGAGCGCTCTGAAAAAGAATGCTCCGGAGCGCTCTGGAACGATCTGCCGTCCTTGTCCTGCGCCCGCCCAAAGTGTGCGACGTGCTGCGGCTGCACACGCGTCTGCCGCGCGTGCCCCGCGCGGGCACGCCCTCCCTCGTTAGCATAGGGGAGACAGGTCCTGAGGAAAACGGGTCCTGGGCCCTGGGGCCTCACCCCAGGACGAGATCGGGGGCGGACAAGAGGGGGATGTCCAAGGGGGAGGGGTGCAAATCATGGCCGGCGGCATGTGCGCGGCGCAGGGGGGGGACCAGGGACGTAATGAAATAAGAGGAGGCGCAATGACATCTGGGAAAATATTATGGCCCACGCCATGAGATCCCCCCCCCTTGTCATCACCTCCCTCTTTGCCGCCCCCCGACGAGATCTCCATCCTGAGTTCTGACAGTCTCAGGGCCGGGGAGGGCCCCAGGGGCACGAAAACGGCAAAACAACTCAGAACTGGGGAAACCAAACGGTACGGTTATAGCTGCTCCCTAGACCTCTCCCGGGGTGCATTCTGACCAGAACTTCGAGGCGAATCCAGCGAGGGCCTCCCACGAGGCCCACAAAGCGGAGAACGAGGCAAGGGTGGCAATATGTGTACCTCTTCCTCCTATGAAGAACCCGTCTCCCTCAGGATCTGTTTCCCCCCTGGCGACTTTGGCAGCCCCCGAAGCCCCGGTCGCTCTCTGGCGCGGTTCGGCGCGCGAGCGGTCCCTGGCGCCCGCAACGCCCTCCTCCTGGGCCTTCTCCCGGGCCTGCTCCTGGATGCGCTCCTTTGGGGCGGGAGGGGCGAGAGGGGGGGGGGACGAAAGGGTAGGATGGCAAAGGGTAGGAAAGATAATCAGCTTACGCAGCTGGTTTTCATTGGACGCCTCCTGGCGCCAGGAGGCGCCCATGTATCGAGGAATGGGCCCGGCGGGGCCGGAACCAGCTGCAGGCAGCAGATGTCGTAATCCCCCTTTCCCTATCCCCCCCCCTCTCGTTCGGCTCTTGAGGAGGGGGGCGAGAGGAAGGAGGCGAGAGGGGGGGGGCGAGCGGGGGGCGGTAAGGGGGGGGGAGGGCGAGAGAGGGGGGGAGAGTCCTTTTGGGGGCGAGAGGGGGGGAGAGGCGAGAGGGGGGGCGAGAGGGGGGGCGATAGGGGGCCCCCTTCCTTCTGGGGGGCGGGAGGGGGGGAGGCGAGAGAGGGGGGCGTGGACCCGGGGGCCGACGGAGGGGCGCCGCTTGCAGGCGCGGGCTCCTCGCTCTGCCCCTGGCTTTCTGACTACCTGCCAGGCCTCCTCCTCCTGCTCCTCCTTCCTCCTGCTCCCCCTTCCTCCTGCTCCTCCTGTTCCTCCTGCTCTCCTCCTTCCACCTCTCCTCCTCCTACCCTCCTCCTCCCTCCTGCCTCCTCCCGCCTCCTCCTCCTCTCCCCTCCTCCCTCCTCCGCCTCCTCCTCCTCCTCCTCCTCCTCCTCCTCCTCCTTTCTCCATCCTCCCTTCTCCCTCCTCCCTCCTCCCGCCTCCCCCTCCCTACCCTCGCCTCCCTCCCTCCTCCCTCCTCCCCTCCCTCCTCTCCTCCTCCTCTCCTCCTCCTCCTCCCTCCTCCTCCTCCTCCTCCCTCTGCTCCTGCTCCTCCTGCTCCTGCTCCTGCTCCTCTCCTGCTGTTCCTCCTGCTCCTGCTCCTGCTCCTGCTCTCCTCCTGCTGTTCCTCCTGCTCCTGCTCCTGCTCCTCCTCCTCGTCCTCGGTCCTCCTCGGCCCTCGGCCTCTCGTCCTCCTCCTTCCCCTCCTCCTCCCCCTCCTCCTCCTCCTCCTCCTCCTCCTCCTCCTCCTCCTCCTCCTCCTCCTCCTCCCAGAAACAGTACAGCACTCGGCTCGGCCCCTCCCCCCATTGAGTCGCTCCCTTTCCCACCTGAGCCTCGTGAGCCCCCCACGACGCCCCTCCTCTTCTGAGGATCGGCGGAATGGCATACAGTCAACCCGTATAAGAGGTGGCCACATGTGAACCCTACCCCCACCCGGCACGACTTCTACGGGGCGCTCGGGACCTCCCGAACGGACTGAACCCCCACCCCCCCTTAGAAATCGCGGGGGGGGGGAATATGGTTCACATGTGGCCGCCGAGAATCGTTCCGGCAAGCTCTGGCAGGGACATATCCACGTCCTGGCCCCGTCCGACTCCCCCCCCTCGGGTCGCGCGGCGCCGGGGGGGCGGTGCGCCGTGGGCCCAGGGCGTCTTCTGGCCAGGCTCCTCCGGGCCTGGCCTCATGCCTGCGAGAGCGGAAAGCGCCAGCATCGACCTTAGGTCTACTACAGTAGGGGCTCGACCAAGAGAAGCCTTCCACCCAGCCCTGAGACCCCGGGAAATCATTTTTTTTGGTGTGGGAGCGTCACGCTTTTCATAGCAAAACCATCGAAACCCAAGAACCCAGGGCACCCTGGAGGCAAGCAGGGTGTTTCTTGGCATGGGCCTCCACTGTAGTAAAGGGACATGGCAGATCGAAGAACTACGGTGTCCCCTCCCCTGGCCAACTCCCTGCCAGTCAGCGACCGACCATTGCCGAACCCAGCCGACACCTGGACAACCCGCCCGGCCAACACTGTCTGCGGTAGCTCTGTCAAAGAGCCAGGTTCAGTGCGTCGCTTCCCACACTAGGTGGGCCGCAGCCTGCCACTGAGCGTTGGGAGTGCGTCGAGCTCTGGAAGCGTCGTGTAGCACGCTTGTTGACAGGGCTGCTGCAAGGTCGTTATTCGGTTTGCAGCCGAAGGATCAGTTGTATTTGCTTGTCAAGAACTTTCGCATATCGTCGGGGTTTCCCCTTCTACTGCTCCTCTGGCCAGCCGCTGTGAGCAATCGAGGGCCCCTGGCAAACCAAAGCAACATCAAAATGATAAGCCCACGACTACGCAGAGCATCAAAGGGAGGCCGAGGACAATGTTGAGAGTGACCATCAGGAGAAAGGTGAAGAGATGCGTGACAAGACGAAACTAATGTGAGGGAGGGATCTGTAGCAGGAGACGGGGCAAGACCCCCTCGGAAGCGTCTCCAGGGCAGCGTCCAGTCGCTCTTGGATCCTCGCGCCCTCGGCCTTGGCGCTGGCGGCCTGAGACGCTCCGCCCTCGCGTCGAGGCCTGCTTTCACGTAGGCGCCCGAGCTCCTTCTGCTGCTGGTGCTCCTGCTGATGCTCCTCACTCCTCCTCCCCCCTCCGTCTCCTCCTCCTCCTCCTCCTCCTCCTCCTCCTCCTCCGTCTCCGTCTCCGTCTCCGTCTCCGTCTCCGTCTCCGTCTCCGTCTCCGTCTCCGTCTCCTCCTCCTCCTCCTCCTCCTCTTCCTCCCCCTTGGTGCGACACTGGTGTTGCGGATCGCTTATAATCAATTTACACTCACGGATACACCAGGCCAGCTCAACTCGAAGTGTAAACACACACAGACCTCTGCCTCCTCCTCTTCCCTCTCCTCCTCCTTCTCCTCCGCCTCCTTCTCCTCCTCCTCCTCCTCCTCATTCGTGTTCGTTATGTCTGTCGGTGTCCGTCTTGCTACAACCCGCAACAATCATATACGAAGGGAAACGTACACCGATGGGACGATTGCGACAAGCAACGATTCGTGCCGACATACAAGTTCCAGGAACTGGCATGCTGCAAGTGATTCGAGCAGCATCAAGGAAATCACACGACGGCCACCTCGTCACTGAAGCCGTTTCCCCATCCCACCTCCTCCTCCTCCTCCTCCTCCTCCTCCTCCTCCTCCTCCTCTCCTTCCTGCTGCTGCTGTTCCTCCGCCTCTTCTCTTTTAAAATGGGGGACACGGGGAGATGGGCAAACAACTTACCCCCCCTGTTAGCACAATTGCCAGCGGATCGACGACGTGTCCAAAGGATTGATTTCGCCGAGGGCGGAGGAGAGGACGGAGCAAGATGAGAGGGAAGAAGGCTGCGACCCCTCGCCACGAAGGGCTGACAAGACGCGAGCCGCGAAGCGACGGACGGGTCTCGCGGGGCGAGGTTGCCACGAGAAGTCTATGCGCATGCGACCCTCCCCCTTTTTCCATCCTCCCTGCTCCTCCAGGACCTCCTCCTCCAGGACCTTTTCCATCCTCCCTGCTCCTCCCCTTTTCCATCCTCCCTGCTCCTCCCTGCTCCTCCAGGACCTTCTCCTCCTGCTCCCCCCCTGACTGCGCTACGATGATCGTGTTCCACACGGAGCGCATGCTGAGGAACGGAAGGGGCGTTCCTGGCCACGGCGGGCCGAAGCCAAAAGCAACTCCCAAAACACACATCTAAGCAACTCCCAAACTCCCAAAACACATACTCCCAAAACACACATCTAAGCAACTCCCCAAACACACACACACACGTTCTGAATCCAAACGGTTCCCTATTTCAGCGTCTTGGCTGTACCTCTCAAGCTTGACCACCTGGCCACGACCCCTGGAGGCTGCTCAAGACACTTGCGGCACCCCTGGAATTACTCAACGATGCCTCGCCCTCCCCCGATGCTGCGGTGTGGTGCGGTGCCGCGGTGCCCCCCTCCCCCCCTGTAGATGTGGCATGCTGCTGTGGTGCAGCGGAAATCATCGTCGAATACTGCTCTCGCGGAGACGTAAAATACGGGTATGGGGAACTCGGGTTGGCCTGGCGGGGCTATCATAAAAGCGACGAGACCCAATCTGAAATATGGCGCGAACTCCCGCTGCAAACATCCCACGACAACTGGACCGGCGAACCCGAATTCTGGCTTGCTCCAGTCTTACGGTTCCTCGATGCTCACTGCTAGAAAGCAGCGCTTGCTGATCTCCAGGGACTGTTCCAAACGCTCTCGCCTCGACGCCGGCAACATGTCCCCTGAAAGCGAGGCTCCTGCTCGAGCGCGGGCTTGGTTCCACATCCTTGTTGTTGATGCACGCGCACCCACCCCCCCTCGCGGAGAAAGGGGGAGGTGAGGGTCGCTCTTTTTCTCGAGCAACAAAGGGCTGCAGGATTTCCTGGATCCTCCAGGACAGTCTGATTATATTTTCTATACTCACATATATGTGTAAAACTACAAACTTCCTAGCACCTCTCCTTGGGCGCGGGAAGCGGCTCGGCCTCCAGCCGAGAAGAGTGAGCCACAGGGAAACCACTTTGTGCTCCCTTAGCAGGCCTCGCAACGGCGCTGGTCACCTAAGCCCATCGCGGGGCTACCCGCAGAGGGCAGCCGCGGGGCAAACCGCAGCCTGTAAAAGAAAGCTCACCTTCGGCTGTCGTAGTGCTTCCTGCGACCATTCTCCTGGCCCTCTCCGTGGATCACCTGAGAGCCTCTGGAACGGTCTCCGCACTCGCTCTTGAACGTCTCGATCCACTTCTGCGCGGCCTCTGGACTGCTGATGTCCTGCAAGCTGAGCTTGGCAAGAGGTCCATACGCTGTAGCCATCACCCGTAGCTGCTCGATCTCTTTGGCCTGGCGATCCGACAGAACGCATCCGTGCTTGATCATCCTCGTGACCAGGTCCTCCTTGATCCCTGACACGGCCAGGCCCTTGGCCTTCAAGACAGCTCGCAGCTCAGCTACAAGAAGCGTGCTTAAGAGCTTGTGCCTTGCACCTTTGTCCTGCTGTACACACACGGTCTTGAACTCGACGCCAGCCCGCGCAGATGGTGTGCAAGTGCTTCCAGAGGCGGGGTTAACCGCACCCTGGAGGAGGAACTTGTCGTAGAAGTTCTTGAAGTAGCAACCACACCAGCACCCCAGTAAAAAAGCACTGGCTGCAGTCACCACAACAAGCCCCAACTTCAGGAAGAACCAGAACTCCTCGCTGTCCACGTAGTGGCTGACAGGCGCGGGGCAAACCGCAACCTCGTCAGAACCTCCGTACACTGTCACCTTCTCGCCTGACGCCTTCGTCACGACCTCTGTGAAAACTGCCATTGCGCTCAAGCCCTTCAACTGCTTTCCGAACCTGAGGTTGAGAGTGGTGCAATGCTTCTCGATTGTCGGCCACTCGCTGTACTTCGTGAGCATGTCGGCTGTCATCTTGCTGGTGTCCTCCTTGTGAAGCTCGAACGCCTTGAGACGCAACCGCTCCTGAATCCACAAGTACCTCAACTCCAGGTGCCTGACCTTGCCCACCCCAACTCGGCTGCACATGCCACGTCCAGCTGTGCTGTCACTATAGATCTTCAGGTTGCAGGGCCTCTGGGTCTCGATCAGGTAAGTCTTACACTGAAGTCCTCTGGCTGTCGCACTTCCCGTAGCGTACATCTCGGATTCCCCTGAACTTAGGGCTATCGTACTCTGCGTCACTGAGTAGCAGTCCCAAGTGTGGTCACCATACCTCACAGCTCCTCCACTGGTAGATCGCCGCTGTAGTTCACTCGTAGGTGCCCAATCTGCGTCACCATCTACACGAATGCCTTCAGGAGTACCTTGAAGTGGGTAACACCAGACCAACACAGGCTGTCCCTCGTAGTACCTTCCAAGTCGCTGAACACGCGCATGCATCAAGACGTTCGGGTTGGAGACGTGCTGCATCGCTGTCTTGCTGGCGTACATCGTGTCGGGCCTATCCGAAGAAAGGTAAAGAGCGGTGCCTGCTGCACCCGCCACTTCTCGAGCACGATCCTTGGAAAGAAGGTCTAGGCTGTCTCGTCGGCCTTGTCCTGTAGCTTTCGTTCCTGGAGTGGGAGCTGGTTTACAACCTCGCTTCTGCGTCCACTTGATCATGAAGTCCACATGCTTAGGATCGGCAGTCCAGAAGAAACCTGGCTCCTCGCAACCTGGCAACTTGTCGGTATAGCCGATCGTCCTCTTGAGGTATGTAGTCTGCCCCACCGCTCCTGGTCCAAGTCTGGCGCTGGCCGTGACCTCAAACTGCTGCCTCAATAACTCGTCCAGCTCGTCCAGCTGCTCGTCGTAGCCTTCAGCAAGAAAGTCATCGCCATGGCAGATCGCTGTGCTATCCTCGTCGACGGGGGCTGTGTTGGGGCTAGCAGGTAAGTAGAACACGTTAGGAGTTCCAACCAAGCAGTCCCAATGACCGTCGTCCATAGTAGTTCTCACAAGCTCACCCCACATCTGCGACGCCTTCCTGGTACCGTTCATGGCCTTGCGTAACCACCAGCACCTTCCGGGCGGACACAGCTCTCTCCCAGGATGCACGTAGATCGTCTCGTCTAAGTCAGCGTTGAAGAAAGCCTTCCTGACGTCCCAAACTTGTATCTTCCGCAGGTGCTGCCCGCTGGAAGTTGGACTTGAAGCGGCACGGCTCAGCGTCGCTCTGACAATCATGAGCGGGGGCGTGCCTTGGTGGTTATCCTCCCTGACCTCGTACTTGTTCACCTCGGTGGCTACGAACCTCCACCTAACCTTTCCTTCTTTCATGTGGGCTATCGGGAAACCTCCAATGTGCTTGCCGTCAGTCGCCGTCGATGTCGCCACTTCCACGTAGACCCCGTAGTCCTTCATGGCCTGCAGCTCGTCGTCGCGACCCTTCTGATACAGGTCCTCATCCAGAGGCTCTCCAGTGTAGTAATCGTAGTGTATCGTCTTTGGGCTCCACTGGTCTTTCTCATGCAGCTCGGCGCTCACCTCAACCATCTGCTCCACCTGCTGCTCCTCAGGATCTCCTAAGTGGCTCCTGATCGTGCCGATGTGGCTCATCAAACATCTCCTGCATGCACACTCAGCTTGGTGGCATTCTCGTAGCTGGCATCGTGACGAGTGCTTCTCACACCTCTCGGAACATCTCGCACTACGCTTTGGGTGTGGATCCCACATGGGGTCGAAGCTCTCGTCGTAGCCCTCCTCGCAGACTGCCAACTCACAGACAGAGAGATGCCCAATGCTTGCTACCCTGGGCTTCTTGACCTCAGCTCCTTCACGAACTTCACCTGGGGCACTTCGCTGAAAGTCGCTCCTCAGCTCTCCACTCTCCGTGTCCATGGCTGTCTGCACCTCAGCCTCTCCTGGGCCAGGAACCATAGCTACGTCGCTGGCAGCAGGTGCGGGGCTCACCGCAACCTCACTGCTGCTTGATGCCGCTGCTCCTCCGGGTGCGGCTCCAGGCGCGGGGCTTCCCGCAGCCGGCGCTGGCACCACGACTGTAGCCTCAGGGGCCACAGGGTCCT